CAAAAATTATTTTAGAATCCCATTTTGGTATAATGTCATTTTCAAACTTATTTACTCCCCCTGCCACATGCATATATGGAAGGGAATTCAATTCATTCTGTTCAAAAGATTTTACATAATGTCATTATGTTCAGTACCAGACCTTACATAATGTCATTCTGTTCAATGCCATCCGTTTTACATAATATCACTCTGTTCATTACCAGCCTTTACAGAAAGCTCATTCTGTTCAATACCAGACTTCATAAATGTCATTTTGGTCAATACCAGCTTTACATAAATATCATTTTGGTCAATACCAACCTTTACATGAATGGCATTCTGAATAATAAAAACCTTTTACATAAATGGCATTCTGTTCAATGCCAATCTTTAAATATATGTTTTTTTCTGTTTAATACCAACTTTTACATAAATGCAACTGTTCAGTACAACCTTTTCATCACCACATATTTTCTGTACAATATGAACCTTTTCATCACCACATATTTTCTGTACAATATGAACCTTTTCATCACCACATATTTTCTGTACAATATGAACCTTTTTATCGCTGTTTTTCTCTGTTCAATACCAACCTTTTCGTCACTGTTTATATTTTCTGTTGTGTACCATAAACTGCATGCAACAAATAGCTGATTAGTTGGGGATTTTCTTTTCACAGGGCATCTAGCTGGTCCAGTGTACAGTGTACAATTTCTTTCCTTTGTAAAATCTGACGCACGAGTTGTCTAACCAGATACCGCTGGTCTACAGAACTATCAGATTATTCATGAATCTGTTCCCTGGAATAGAAGTCAATCATATGTCGGCCTCATTTGTAACCATATATATTCTATGACGCCCACCAGGCTAGGCTACACGTATCATCTCCAAACGCTGAACGCAGAATCTTTGATATGACATCTGAAAGTGGCTGGCGGCCGTACGTAAACCGAGCCTATGTTGGATATGTTGTTTGTTTGTTTGTTTAACGCCGCACTCAGCAATATTCCAGCTATATGACGGCAATCTGTAAATAATCGAGTGTGAACTAACGGGATCGGGTGGTCAGGCTCGTTGAATTGGTTGATGCATGTCATCGTATCCCAATTGCGTGGATCGATACTAATGATGTCAATCACTGGATTGTCTGGTCTGGTGCGGCGTTAAACAACATGAAACAAACAAACCATAATATCGTAATCATAACGCTTCTTATTTTGCTCCCATGCCTTGATTATCGTAAACATCCCAAATACGTTTAAATACTTGGACTTATCAGGAAATACCAGGAAGTGTGGGGCACAATGACGCGGTGATACCACACATATCAACAATAAACAAACACTCAGTGAGTCAAGCCCACTCCTACACTCAGACATATATAAAATGGCGTTATCTACATTTACACAACCACAACCCTTATGTTGGTCATACGTGTCTCTGATACGCCACGTACCCGTGTCGTGTAGACGAAGACTGCTTGACATGACCTGAACAAGGTCCTTATCAGAGATCAACAACGATCGTGACTCTCAGTTTACCACACCCGCCAGTACAACTATCGAGGTACAACTGATAAGTCTATACCCTGATATAGTATATAGTCACACGAGGATATGGTTTGTTTAATAATAACGCAGTGCCACAAGATGGTGAAAGACTGCAAATCACATTGTTTGTTTGTTGTTTAAAGCCACACTCAGCAATATTCCAGATGTATGAAGGTGGTCTATTAATGATCGAGTCTGGACCATATAATCAAGTGATTGATATCATTACTATCGATACACACACTTGGGATACAAAGACATGCATCAACCAAGTCAGCGAGCCTGACCACCCGATCCCGTTAGTCGTCTCTTACGACAAGCACGAGCTGCTGAAGACCTATTCTAACCCGGATCTTCACGGGGGGTAGAAGTAGTAGCAGGATTTGTTCATATTATTTGTTGTTATTATAAGTGTTGCTGTTTTTATTATCATATCAGTTTTATGATTATACCATGCACTTACATTTCTTTAAAATATAACACGTAATGCCCTTGCACCACGTTCGATCGATACCAGATTAGCATAAAGCATATATTGATGTGACTATGATTTATACACCCGGCAGATGTACTGTAGACTGTACGCTGGCAATTTAATTGTATCGACCTAGTCTTAGCAACAGCATAAACACGCATGGCCTGACTTGTGACTGAATTGCAGGCAGTGTCAGTCACTAAGAGCAGCGTAGCAACTCTGGACATTGGCCAAAAAGTACCTGCATGTTCCGTGACAAAGCCTCTGCGTGTGCTCTCACTTCATTGCTAAGTGCAGCACTGAGCAAGCTATTACAACAGAGGGGGGTTGTTGTCTTCCACGACTAACTTTTGAATGTTTAGAATCAGAAATGTTTATATACCATTCTTTCGCAATGTTTAATCATACTTTCAGGGTAGCGTGGTGACTGTCGTCATAGTGTCACGTGACACTTTCATCAATGGCACGCCTAGCTGACGTTGTTCTACCCAAGCAGGTAGTGAGCCATAATCCCGAGGCATACAGCGTACATACTTATTGCCCTTTCACTCCGACCAACAATATACGCTAGCAGCGGTGACTGGTTCTACGCCATCACGCCACCTTTGTTGTTTTCTTATTACTGGGTGTTGATCACAGGGAACTTACATAAACAGACACAACATTTGACGTGATAGCGTCATCACGCCAGTGCTTTTGTAGTTTCAAACACACTGTTTAATTGACATAAGTATCATTCTTACAGATTATCATTTCTTGGTTTAAAAACGCTACAAATCGCTGGACACATCACGGTTTCTATGTATAGAGATACCTATATAATAAGAACTCGTTTTTTACTACTCAAAGGAAGCAAAAGAACATCCGATTCTCTCATAGGTTACCAGGGACCTTTGTAACCATAGCTACGTAATATTCCTTTGGCAGATAGTAATATGAAGAATCGGCGACATTTAACTGTAACACACTCGCACCACATAAGTAGTCATCGAACAATAACATTTACAACTAGGAGATAAACAAATCTGTTTTCAATGCTTAGCAATATAAACTGTAGATTTCACAGCGTAAAGTTGGATAGTTGGATAACTGGACGCGCACAGCTATTAAATCAGAGGCATGGTATAGTTATTTGAAACTTCTGATTGACCAATCAGGATTGAGAATATCCCAAAGTTTCTGTGATAGCGTGACACATCTCAAGTAGATGGTACAAGTCGATCCAAAACTTTTATATTCGAGTTACTATAACACGTGAAATTGTTAGTGAAGTCGCAATTATGTGACAGACAACAATATCCCGTCAGTGAACGATCGATTAATTCTTGAATTGTTTGCGTATAACTATCTTGGAAAATCACATTAGTGACCTAGATTTGTTCTTAAAATATGACAAATATCCTCGTAACAATACACCATCAGTAATATGTATGTCATGCATTTCCCTGTTTTAATTATACTAGCATATGTCGATTTAAACGTATCGTATTGTTTAAAAGACAAATGATCCGACATAACTTGTATTCAGTGTTATCAGACAGATTAATTGTGATAACACAAAAATATTTGCGTTTGATACACGTCACATGTAAACAAATAGCCTAACTTTCGCAATATATGAAAATATTAAACGAAAATAATGTTTATTATTTCCTTTGAAGTTTAATTGTATTTGTTTGGCAAGAGTTACAGTTGATTCGAACTCGCGCAAAAAAACAACGATTAAACGTCAAAGGAGATATACAGAATATAAGATATATAACCATCTGAAGAATAATTGATACAAAAATTAATAACAAATTAAACATGTTGCTTGAGCGGTATTTCAACTGTCTTTAGCTGAAAGTAGCAGGAATTTTGTTCTCGGTGAAAATATTTCGTTATCGGAAAATATCTCAACATGATCATGACATCTCTTTCGAATTGTGAGAAGGTTATAGATGAATGTTACAGCATAATATCACTTGTCTTTCAGCACACTTCATGACATCACTATCAAATCATGATTAATCTACATGTATTCCATATAACAATACCAACACCGCTATATTGCGTTATCAAATAAGTAATACTTCTCATTTAAACATGTATGCGACGGGCAAAGATAACCTTGCACTTTTAATCATTTCTGTATTAATGATTTCCTTGTTGACTGTGACTACAATTTCAACAACGGTATGACTAAAGATTAGTAACAATTTTTATGACGTCTTAAATTAAGACGATAAATATTGCAAACACATTATACATTTTTTTTTTATTATTCAATCATAATGATGAAAAGAATTACATTTAATGATAAACCCAGACTGTTACAAATGGAATATGTAAAAATAATATATATCCACTCAATTTATATATGAACTGACAAGAATGTTATACGATGCGACCTTACGTTAGAACAATCATGTAAAGATTACCATCAATTATATTTTAAAATATAAACGTTCATGCGAATTTAGCAGAATATTTCCGCGTGTCTCATCTGATGCATTAATTATCACTTATCATATACTATCGATCGGTTAAATTGATTAGGTTTAGAGAATTTATTCTTACAGAGAACTCGGAATAATTGAAACGCAGACACAAATTTGAATAGTACCGATGAATGCATTGTTTCATTGTCCAAATCGTTGAAAACATAAGCGCTTGGCCATCGGACCAACAGAACGTGCCACGGACAAAGGTCATGGTTCGCGCGATACTCACCCAATGAATGAATGAAAGGTTTACGCACAGTTGTAAGTTCATGTTTTGCTCGCCCCCGAGGAATCATGGTATAAAATATCCGCAGTAAAAATTGAAATAACTCAAATAGTGAATATGCTCATAGGTAAACATAAAACTACAGAGAAACTTTATTCGTTTACCTATGTTCCCTAGAAAAAACACGATAATGTGATGGTTTCTGGGTCAGCATGCCACAACGTATACAATCGCGTGATCCTCATTAATATTCATGTCGACTGACGAGTCTGTTTACTGGCTGTTCAGGGATTGGTAGCATGGGATACGCCCGCCAGTCACACCACTGAAGTCTAGCGAAGGTTCACTTTATTTCAGGCTGTGGCTTTGCATCAGGAGGACTTGGGTACCTATTACAAGAAACAACAAAATACTAACATTGGAAAAGCAACAGGGCCCAACACGATCTATCACCACCCCATTCAACTCCAGAAGAGGGCGGGTGTTCATTTGACTGAATAGCCACAGTAGTCCACAGACGGTTTCAAGTCACCCCACAGCCTAACTGCGTTCATCAACTCAGAACACGCCGGCCGGCTTGTCTCGTATGAAATTGTGATTTCACTGTTTGTTTGGATCAAGACTCTTCCAGTGATTTCTAATCAAGACAGGGATATAAAGTATGAAGATCTTCTCCAGGAGGATAGATAAGTTGGTCCTTGTTCCGGCAATTCTGATCGTGTTCCTGATAGTTCTACAAGGTGTCACCGGTAAGTTCAGAAATGAAGCAACAGATTATGACACGTTTCACAACATTGTTGAATCATGACTTTTTTTAAAATATACATGTATGAACATATGATGTCCAACACCTAGTAAACGACCAGTTACGTTAATTATGTTACAAGGTTCCAATATAATTTAGGCGTAATGTCTCCCGACTTGTCCTGTCAATCGATCGACTTCTCAGACCGATAGATCGAGGTATGTTCACCAGGCATCATGTGTTTTACATAATTGAAGATTTGATTACTACTGTTTATTTATCTATGCCTATATTTGTTTAGAAAAGTTTAGATTTGTGAAGGTTACCCAATTTGTTCTGTCATCCAGGTGAATACCCCCCAACCAACAGCTCATGCCCAAGCACCCAGTTCCAATGTAACGATGCGAAATGCATCCCAATGGGTTGGAGATGTGATGGGGACGTTGACTGCACAGACAAATCGGACGAGATAGATTGTCGTAAGTAGCAATATTTCGGAATGAATATTTGAAGAAGGGTCGTATAGGATAGGTTTATTTTTATGATATGCTCGACTCGTGTAATTAACGTCAAGCAACTATAAGATTTCCATTGGGTTAGATATAACATTGAATCTTCTTATCTCTGTTGAGGAGAACATTTTGTTTGAGTAGGCGTGGCAGATTGTTAGGCGTACAAACGTGTATATTCGATAACATCGTTCCATTCTCGTTACTCGGATCATGCTGTAGAGTGTGTAACCCCAAGAGGTCATGCTCGCATTTACTCGACAGCGATTGGCTGAAATAACTCAGCTGACGTCGGCTGGTTTGTATTGACCAATCAAATCCCAGTAACCGTCTCGCGCCTTGCGCATGACTTTACGAGGTCAAATTATTGTCATGCATAACATTTTTGTTGGCCCTTACATCCCCCCCCCCCCCTTCAATAAAACAACACTTTCTTTTTGAAAATAAAACGTTATTTTTGAATAATTGAACACCAGCTTCGTGCATTAACGAAACATAACGTCAATGTTTCAAGATTAAGATTATACATGTGGCGTTAGACCAAAGGTGGATACCAGTATTGAGAGAAAAAAGTGTCTCACTCCATGCTTGTGTTACGAAATGTGTAGGTGTGACTTGTCAATGATCAGTAAACCATGACATACACGTACAAATAGAATATTCAGTGTCATTGACAGCCCTAATATCAAGAAAACAGTATCTCTAAATCAGTATCTGTTCTTATGAATCATAATTCAAGACATATTATATAAGCATTGTACTCAGGATGTTATATCTACCCGACAAAATGACGTTCAAATAGACTTTATTAAAAATAAAAATTGTTCGTGTTGGAGCCTGCGAGTAGCCTATGTATTTAACGTAAGGAAAGGCTCGGTTTAACCCAGTCAACTAAGGGGACAAGAAATCGCATATGTTACTCAAGAACGTTCTTTAAAACTCGAACCGAAGTGGTAAACGTCTGAGACCTGCATCACTTCGGGCTTTCCTCCCACGTTAAGCTGACACGCCGCAATATAACTGGAATACTGTTAAAAGTGTCGTTAAACCCAACTCACTCACTCACTCTAAAACTCGATAATGATGGACATGAAATTCATGATGCATCGAGACAATGAGTATATAACTCAGAATATGTATTCCGACCCAGTCAACATTGAAATTAATGCGGCAATATAATGGCAGTTTTCTTTTACCTCTAGCAAGTACAACATGTGCTGAAGACGAGTTTCACTGTCAGGACAAGAAATGTATCCCCATGAGATGGACCTGTGACAAGGATAATGATTGTAAAGACGGTTCAGACGAAGCAACAGAACTTTGTAGTAAGTGTTTTATGTCATTATTATGATCTCAGTAACTATGGAAACCATATGTTTTGTACTAAGTTTTTATTTCATGAAACTAAATTTTCATGATGGTAGACAAACGTTCAGGCAAATAGTTTTGCAAAATCTTGTTTCAGAGGTATGTGATAAATATGTATTGTTTGCAGACCATTTAGGTAACTTTTATGACTTTGTAGTCTTTGGTATGAAAAAACATGATATTTTCGTATTTCAGATCGTAGAACTTGTGGTCCAGATAAGTTTGTCTGCGATTCTGGTGTATGTATTCCTTCGGACTGGAGGTGTGATGGATCATCAGATTGCCAGGGAGGGGAAGATGAAAAGAACTGCAGTAAGTATTTATTCAGTGACAGCAATGACAACTTTGATCATAAACTTTGTTTAATATTGATTGTACTTACGTGCCAGGAATTATTCTTATCCCATAATATTCACACACCTATTTGGTATCTTTCTGTTATATTTTATGTGGAAATGTTATAACTTGTAAGCAAAATTAAGTGGTTATTTTATCGTTGAAATTTCTTTTTAGCTTCCACGTGTGAAGGAGATGAATACCGCTGTGATAATGGACAGTGTATAGCACAACGATGGAAGTGTGATGGAGACAAGGACTGTAAAGATGGCTCTGATGAGGACAAGTGTGGTACGTTGCTAAACATTCGCAGAAATTATTCAACAACAGAATACAATTTATTTCAACAGTCATGATTGTTTATGGAAGCATTATGGAACAATTCAGTCTTGGTAAATATGACAGCTGGTATTGGTCTACTTTTAAATTTATTTATTTTTGTGCTGTTACAAAAATGTCTCAGTGAACAATATTGAAAACATTAAGTTTATTTTATGCTTTAATTATGCAAAATTTTAAATTGAACGTCAATTACTTTCCAGAGTCCCCACAGTCGTGTGAACCAGATGAGTTTATGTGTCATGATGGCCCTTGTATTAAGAAAGACTGGCAGTGTGATGGGGACTTTGACTGCAATGACAGGAGTGATGAAAACAAGTGTAATGGCACCACTACTGAATGCTCGGAGTCACAGTTTAAATGCAAAACGTCTGGCGAATGTATCCACAGTTCCTGGTTCTGCGACAATGACGATGACTGCGAGGATTTGTCTGATGAGAATTGTAAGTTTAATTCTCACTCAAAACTGACCATTATCGTTTAAATTTCACATTTGTCAAGAAAAGCTACAAACTGGTTGATTATTTTTACCTTTCGTGTCCAATTTGTTTTAAATTAAAGTTGCTTTTAATGTGTATCGCTGAAAATAAGTTTTTAATTTGTAATAAATGCTAATAATTGTGATTTCTTTCTGTTTCAGGCAATACTACATGCCGCAGTGATCAGATCATGTGCTTAGAGGGACGTTACTGTTTGTCGAAGTCTGTGCAGTGTGATGGTTCCAAGGATTGTCAAGATGGTTCTGATGAAGTTAATTGCACCAGTAAGTGAACACAGAATATGTTCAGTTAGCACAGATAATAAAGAGTATTATAACTGTTTTTCATAGATTTTTCTAATATCAAAAATAGACATCTGGGGCTCAATTATCACTTTTACTCACACAAGTATGAATAAATTACTTGTGTTGTGAAGACACCATTATCACCTTATGCCTAACTGAATGTGTCATTATACAACATTGGCAGAGATTGTTTTCATGTAACTGTCAGTTTTAAATTGTCTTATTAATTTGTGGGTTTTTTTTGCAGCTCCAAGTCCATGCAAGGAAACTGATTTTCACTGTGGAGATGGAGTTTGTATTGACAAGTCACTTGTGTGTGATGGAACCATGAACTGCAAGAACATGGAAGATGAAAACAAGGACCAGGGTTGTGCACGTAAGTTTCTACCTATTATTCTATCTGACAATGTTGGAGGATGATTTTGTAGATTTGTTTGTAACTTTCAGACTTTTCAGTAATTTGGTTACAGATTTTTATTCAAAAGCGTATATCACAATTGGTACATAACACAGGTTGGGTTTTTGCCCTCTGTCTCGAGATCTCTGCTAGATAGTAATTCATGATTCATTTATTTTACAAAGGTTTTTAATTTATATGCATCCAGAAAAATCTTAATTTCTCATATTTGTCTGGCTTGTTAAACATTAGCCCAAAACACTTGTATCTGAAGGTAAATTTATTTTTGGTATTTTATTCTTTCACTGTTACTGCAGCTCATGGTATGTTAAAACTCTTGTATTGTGTTTGTTGTCCTCTGTAGATATGTAGATTGTGACTCTTGTTTTGTGCTTTGAATCTCTGTTTAAGAAATGTTAATGATTTTTTATTTTGAAACAAATTCACAATTGTCTGATTACATGGGATGTTAAGAACAACTGCAGAAACACTAAACATATATCCTTATGTTTGAAGTTCAATTTGGGAAAGTTTGGTTGCTCTGATCTTTTAATGTGTAAATTGCTTAAACCTAGTTCAGATCTTAAAACAAATATTTGTTTTTACACATCTGAAACTTCAATATTTTTTTTATTTTTTTTGTGAATCACACATGGCACATAGAAAAGAATAATTCTGTGTACACAGTTCGTTTATTTGATTTTGAGTAGTGTTCAGTAGCACACTGTTGCAAGCACCGCAAGCTAAGGATTATTCTGTTATTTGTAGTTTTTGTCTTATGTTGTTTCTGTGGCCACCATGTCAATGACCTTACTACATCTGAAGTATTGTCAGAGTAATTGTACCCTTTTTCAGTTTAAATGTAATACACACTGTTCCTGACTAGTCTGTGGCTTTAGCCACTTGTCTGAATCCTGAGTCTAGTAACTTTGTCCAATGTTGTAAGCTAGGCTTATAATTGTCCATAATGATATAATACAAAAATGCTACTGAAAATTATGCTAAGATATAAATTCAGGCAAACAGACTGTGCCTATCATTTTGCAATTACTATCGTATTATGAAGCAAGAAAAAAATCCAAGTATTTCTAAAAAAAAACATGCAATGTGGACGAGAGGAAGGACTAAACTTGCTGTTGGGTGATGCTCACATATGTTTCACAATGGTGAAGTCACAACATGATACATGTTGATGGAACAAAATTTGTTCTGGTCCACAGTCAAATTTTTTAATTCTATTTGTGAAAATTGACACCTACTAATCCATAATGACATATGTTGAACTGATAATATGACCTGAAAAAAGCAGCCAATGGTTTAGTTCAAAATTATTGTATTTTAGTGATTGTATTCAGTTATAGTCAACATAACAATGAAATCTGTGTTTCAACTTTGCTTGAATGATGGCTGTTATGGTCTGTGAAGTTTAATCTACTTTACAGTTTTAAATCAGGCCTAACAGCATCCTAGCCCTGTTATTGGTTGATGCACTAGCATTTAAATATGTCCTTACAACTCTTGCAGATGATCCATGCAGCGACAATAATGGTGGATGTGACCACATCTGTGTCAACCTGTTCGGAAACAAGCGCAAGTGTGACTGTAATCCAGGCTTCACACTGATGAATGATTCCGAGACTGTGTGTACTGACATCGATGAGTGCAAGGACAATCTCATTCATGGCACTTGCTCACAGATCTGTAAGAACACCAAGGGAGGCTACAAGTGTGAATGTGTTAATAATTACTCCCTGGTCAACAAGAGATACTGCAAAGCTGATGGTAAGTCTTTTATGCAAGTAATTTGATAAAGATATGAAGAAATTGATATATAAAGCAACAATCTCAATATTTGAGAATAATGATAAAATAATTCATGGATCACAATTGTTTAGGATGTCAGTTGAATTGAGCTGATCTGATTTATGTAATAATCTAAATGATTATGGCTTTTTTTTTGCAAAGAAACATCAAGCCCCATGACTTAACTGCAATCTGATCTTTCTTCAGGTGGCCACCCAGAGCTGCTGCTTGCAAGCAGGAAGGATCTTCGTAAAATCACCCTTGAAACTTTTGATTACAACCTCCTCCTTGATGATGGTCATATATCTGCTGCAATTGCTATGGATTTTGACTTTGTTGGAAAGAAGTTTTACTGGACAGATGTAGCCAAGGAGGCTGTTTTCAGGTGAGTTTGTAATAATAGATTGTGTATTATTATGTATACATATGGCAATCCTGTTTGGATGCTTAGATATATATGGACTTAAGGGAGTATCGCTTGTCTTGTTCCATAGGCGTCTTTCTCATGTGTGAAGACCCAAGTTTTAAGAAACAATTCTATTTAATATGGTCACTGTCAAAGAAACTCACTAAAGTGAAATTATTTATGAAGCTGTGACAATATTTAATCTAATGTGTACATTGTTAAATGACAGTTAAATTCAAAATATTCAAATAACAAATCATGTCATAATTGAAGTGAGAAGGAACATTAAATTCAACATTCTGTAATATATTATAACATGAAATTAATTCTTTTCAGGGCTGACTTCGGCAACAAGTCATCAGTTGAAGAGGTAGCATCCACAGATGTCAGCACCCCAGATGGCCTTGCTGTAGACTGGATCAACAAGCACCTCTACTGGACTGACACTGGCTTTGACAGGATTGAAGTGTCCTCCTTGGATGGCAAAATGAGGAAAACTCTTATTAACACTGGATTAGATGAGCCTAGAGCCATAGTATTGGATCCCAATCATGGGTAAGTAACCAGTTGTTTCCTCCTTAATCAGGCAAGTAATGACTTCTAGATTTAATCAAATAAATTCAACGAGTCTTGCAACCAGGAAACAGACAAACCCATTAGACAAGTCCCATTTTATTGCAGTGAGAGGATGTCATTGTCGCATTACCTGAACATTTCGGGAGAAATTTTCAATTTGTTTGTTTTTCCTTGCAGACTTATGTATTGGACTGACTGGGGTAAACAGCCTAAGATTGAGCGATGTGGAATGGATGGCAATGACAGGAAGGTTATCATCAACACAACCATCACCTGGCCCAATGGACTCACAATAGGTAGGTAGAAAAACATTTGTAGTAATGTGCAGAATGTAAGGTAATTGTTGCCCTTCAAGGTGCACACAGGCTTGAAAGGACCTTAAATTTTAAGGTTCTGCTTGAAAAGCCTTGATTTTTAGTGTCACACTTGTAAAACCTTGAAATACACAAAACGCTTGTAAAGCCTTGAAATTTGTACAAAATAAAAAAAAAAATTATTTAAGAAAGTTTTCAAATTCAGAAGACTTAAATTATTTTACCTGTTGGTTGTGAAAATAAATCTGTTGGAAAATTTGTGATATTCATACTGCTTTATAGGTTTTACGACTAATCTATCATATGCTGCATTTATAAAAATATTGACAAAGGCAGATTACCCAGCCAAAAAGCTTTGAAAATGACATTGAAAATCCTTGAAAAGGCCTCAAATTTAGTGTTTTATATCTGTAAGAATCTCTTGTCCTCAACTGTTACAAGAGTCACTTATAACTAGGTTTGTTTAAAATTATGTTTTTAATTGTTTTCAGTACCTTTTTTTTATTTTGTCTGTAAAGGTATTGATTATGTAGACATTATTGATATCCAAGGATGTTATTGATGTTTTGTTGTTTAATAATTGCAATTGATCAATTGTTCAGTTTATTGCCATCTTGTGTTTCTAACCAACTTGTTGTCATTTCAGATTATGTTGCCAACAGACTGTACTGGATTGATGCCAAGCGACACACCATCGAGAGCTCAAACATGCTTGGATTGGAGCGAGTGTCTATTCTTAAGAGCCACCTGCACCTCAACCATCCTTTTGCCATCACTGTGTTTGAGGTTAGTTTTACAGAATTATGTTTGTAATGATAGATTTTGTAAATAAATTCTGATCAGTAAAGTGTTACTATATGTGCATTTAAGTCTTTTTTGATGCAGTTACTTGTATTGTGTTGCTTTGTATTTAAGGATTACCTTTACTGGACTGACTGGCCATCTGAGTCTGTTAGGAAATTCAGCAAGTTTGGTAGACGTGGTGAGGAAATAAGCCAGGTGGAGACCATTGCCCTGAATCTGCACTCACCCATGGATGTACATGTATTCCATCCCTACAGACAACAAATACAGAGAAGTGAGTACATTGAAAATGAAATGAAACCTGAATTTTTCTAAAGTTCAAAGTTGTTGCTTTAAGTAACAATTAACATGGCACAGCAAGTTAATCACACTTTAAATATTTAGAGCTCATTTTTGTCTTTTAATCCATTTGAGAGTTTTAACAGTCTATTGACATGTCTGAATCGATTCTTTGGACGGTTTGTTATTTCAATTTTAAGAATTTTTGTTCTTTTTTTATTTAAACTTTACTGTTTTCTAACAAATGTATTTATTTTTAATCTAGGGTTATGTGGCACTGACAATGGTGGCTGTTCCCACTTCTGCCTGCCTAAAGCTTATGATGCAAGGAACACTGAATTCTATGTATGTGACTGTCCCAATGGATTCGTCTTGTCATCAGATAGGAAGAACTGTGTTGAAGGAGGTACGTTAATATCAACATGTGTGTGCATTAGTTAGCTATTTTGGTGCACTTCCTGAATGTCTGTGTGACAAAGCAAAAAGATTAATTTCTTTCCAAATTCATGGATACAATTCACACTAGCCCACTTCTCTGAATCAGTATCTCTGATGTTAAAGGTAATCTAGGGGCTAGATGACTTGCAAGCTTTTCAATTGATGTTCATTTGTGGGCATAATTTCAGCTAGTAAAAGTTTAAGTTTAATTTCTACCACTGCTAATAATTTAAAACCACAGCACTGAACCAGAAGTGTGTTGGTACATATTTTAATATGTAGCTTCTCCAGTAATTAATCAATATATGCTTCCAAGATCTAATATAGTTTATCTGCTACTGCAATGGATGTATATTTGATCATATCTGTAGATATTAGATATTAACCTGTATTGCATGTCATTATAACTGTAACCTTGTAGACATCCTCCCAAACCAAAGTTGTCACTTACAGCATTCACAGTAATAAAATACCCATTACATCATTCACTTAGTGAACCTAAACAGACTGTCTCTTGGAATAGTTTGAGAGACTTGGCAAGGGATTGACAAGCTTCCTGTTTAATCTGAAAGAAGGGAGAAAAGTCGATTACTTGCGATTGTTGGATGGCATGTAATACCCATGGTTTTCTAGGATGTCATGTAGATAGTTTCTATGAACGTCTTCGATCATGAGATTCGCTCTTGATGGTTGACCACCCATCTGTATGCTACAACTGCATGAACCTGGTTGTTATCCACAGACGTTACAACCGGGACTACACCCAGCAAAGCCAGTCCTACTCCAGTGCCGGTCGAACCAGATTCTCCAAATAGAAGTCACAATCGCTCATCTAGTCATGGTGAGGATAGTGTGCCATATTGCTCCATGTCACATGTAGGAGTTTTGGTCTCAACTTGTGATGATAAATCTTACACTCATTCGGTTTTTGTCAATCTCTGTTGCTAAAGTCATAATTTGACTGTTCATATTTATGCATCAATAGGTACATAATTTATAGGGTGGCTTATATGTCCATAGTTATTGAAACTGACCATGCATATTTGTATCCAATCCTCATTGTTTGACATGAATGCATTTGTAACATTATGTAGATGCATGAAACCAAAATATAGGCATGGTTTGTACGATTCCATCAAATGTTTGACAATTCTTGAAGCATGTAATCAACACTGTATACATACTTAAACTGTTTAATGGTGTGTGTGCACTAACACTCATGTAACAGCATACTTGTAGTAGTAGCAAGAACAGGACTAATTGTGAACATGAGGGAGTTTCCTGGAATTAAAATGCCCCTTTCATTTCAGGTCCAGCTGTTGTAACCACCGGTAAAACTCCAGTGTCTGAGGTTACGGCAGTACCAGCCACAGGATCTGAAGTAACAGAAGGTCCTGGCTACACAGTCGTCAGTCATCCCGACCAGGTGAACACAACAGAACAGCACACACCGGAGCATATGGCTGAAGAAAATATTGGTCACATTGCTGGCATTGTCATCAGTGTCTTGTGTGCCCTCTTCCTCATTCTTGGCATTGTAAGTATTAGATATCGGAAACATGTATTTATTGGCAGTGCTTTGTCTGTTTGATAGGCCGAGGTAGAACAGTGGTACAAAGTGCCACAACTTGCTGTGCAAAGCAGCCCTCTTGACCAGGATCTGTTGGATTCATTCCCTTATCATGTTTCTCAATCAGCACCTTTTTCCTCCTAGGTTTTACCAATGATATCTCTAGGATAATTGTTTTAAAGTGGCGTAAAAATTATATTAGAATTAACTCTCTACATTGTCCATTTGTCTGATGTGACTGGTTCGTTGTGCAGGTTGGTTACGTGCTGTACAAAAGATACTCCAGAGGACATGGAAAGAGCATGAACTTTGATAATCCCGTCTACAGGAAGACAACCACAGCAGATGATGTCACTATTGAAAACAAGTTGCCACCGGTAGGTTCATTGGAAATCTTTCTGTTAGAGCATACAATATGTACAAGAAACTGGTTAACATTTCATTCCTTTGTAAGTACCGCTTATTTTCTTAGTATTTATGGTCCTTGTACAAGAATAGTTTTCAGTTTTCAAAAATAACATTGCTTTTGCAGAGTTGCCAACAATTATAAATTGGGTTAAATAGTTATGATTTTGAGCCTGACATTAAGCTTGTCCTCCCCCAAATTTCCCATATATTCTTTTTAACAAATTGTTTACATTAAATATTATGGAGAGCACATTGTTAATGCACCCGTGAAATGAAACATTCTACAGCGAGACTATACCTGCTTATTCTTTTAATTCACAATTGTGCAATATTTTTCAACAGATCCCTTTCTTTTTATCTTTTCAGAGTATGCAGCCCTTAACACAGAACAACGGTGATGTTATATGTTGAACATGGTACCATCAGCTTGGCTATAATCATCATCTGACAAGTGGCTTTTGTTAAACAGCAGGAATGTGCTGTTATGTTGCAGTGAAATAACAGTGACGACATGAGTAACAGCAGAATAACGGTAAACAGCCTTTATTGCCATCAGGCTGTCCTTATGGAACCACCATGAATGTGATGCGTGTGTGGAACTTCATCATCTGTCATTGTTGACCCACTGAATGTTGTCGCTGTTGTCATCGCCACGACTACCACTACCATCATCGCCAAGTGACCGATGTGGTCATGTGTCTACTCACTGCGTCCCTGCCAACTTGGTGTCTGCTCATACCACGCCAGCATGGCAAAAAGTGCATCATTGTGATCAGTTTCCCTTGCTATGGTTGTTAAGACTGTTGGATGAATTCATAGAAACGGAGAATGTTTATTTCATTATTAAATTATTTTGTTGATTTGTCTGTGTGTGTACACTAGCAGCATGCAATGCCTGAAAGTGTGAGAGTTGGGCTGAGGCCCTCATTATTTATGCTTTATCACAGAAAAACTCATCATTCGCCTCAGTTGTTGATTTTGATCATGACTGAGTTGATCATGTGTTCCCCATAACACAAAAATTCCACTGACAATGCTAGCTCTCTGCACTGGTATGTTACAAACTGAACAAAAATGTGCCAGACGGAAGGATTGTATTCGTGGACGGTGGGCTGGAGAGAAGACACATTACCAAACATCTGGGCTAGACAGGACATGTTGGTGCTCATCAATGCCCAACAAGCACACCCCAGTGTGCTGCGAGCTTCCCCCATCACTGAGGATGTCTCATGGAGACCTCATGGACTACTCCCCATCCGTGCACTATCACAGTGCTTATACCCTCAGCAACAATCATTCCCCTTCGTCAGCTGCTGAGAACATCCAACCAATGATGAATCTCCATGAACTCGAGCCACCGACCCAGGAAAAGGGCTGGACAACCAGGCCGAGCGAGAACAAAGTGCAGTCTTAATCAGTGAGGCAGAGAGCAAAAGACGATAACTATTTATTCCATGGAGGAAGGCCAGTTGGCTAGACCCATGTGCCTTCACCTCCTGTAATAAACAATGTCCTTCAGTCAAGTGTGTACATATTAATGTTCCTGTAATGTATGTGATGATACGTCCTGTGTGTATGGATATGTGTGTACATAGTGTAATGTGTATAGTGTGGTGTGTTAACATGCTAGTGTTGCTACTGCATCAGGCTGTGTCAGAGCTCCGGAGCTCATCGGAGCCAAGTTTGTCAATCTCATTAAGGACTTAGGGCCATAGCTACTAGAATCACTAGACAACTGACTCCATATACAGCTTCCCTTGTGCTTTTGCTATAAGAATAACCGGCAGTAGTGAGTATTTAGATCAGCCATTCCGTAGTTCGAAGTATTCTTGCTGCTTGAGCTGTAGTCACAGCCATCAGGGCACACAGGGTAAGCACAGGTTATCAGCTTCCTGCCACCACTGCAATCAAATATATAAATTCTTCGGGTGTGCCAGGCAGGTGTTCAATCTCAGGACTTCTACCATGTGAAACCAATAAGCATGCAACATCTCAACCAATAAATCTCAATTGTACCACAAGTAACACCTATGCCGCCTATGTTTTTACCATCTACCATTCGTTTTCACAGCCTTTTTGATGTTTTATTGAAATCCACTTTGAGTTTGGTCAATATTGTGCATAGATGTGGCTAATGCAAAAGTTTGGTTTAAAAGTGCTCATTTGTTTGGTTGTGATAATGTAGTTTTTACAATGCACGTACAGCTAAGTTTCTAGTTTTGAGGGCACCTTTTCTCACAATGCAAAACCTACTGAGCTGTTTCTCAGTGGGCTAAGTCACATCGTGTTAATATATTTAATGTTTTGTTTATTTTCTGTATAAAATTTGTATATTAACATCCTGTACAGCTGCTTGTATATTGTTTAAGAACATAATGTATTTGTGAATCTCACAGCAGACACAGATTCAGTGTACAAGAGAATGAATGCTTATGAAGCAAGAGAATGTGAAAGATGTATGACTGCAAATCAAGTGTGGCTCTGTTTGTATGGCTGTAAAAAACGTTTGAATTTCCATTGTACATGTGTAGATAATGTGCTCTGTAAATCAAGAATGTATCATTTTTTGGTCAAAAATGCAATGTAATAAATTTCTATTTAAAGATAACCTTCCCCCCAGTTTTGTTTTTCGTTCCCAAGGAATTCTCACTCTCAACCACATTGAAGGAAATGTGGAGATGACATTTTTACCATGGGAGAACTATTGTATATTATTATGGTTACTCTGGAGGGAGTGATGAAGCAAACCATTTTGCCATCACGTATGTGGTTTTCAGGGTATTTGAGGTCGCGCACTATTTGTAAACCGTGACCTACATGTTGTCTTTGACAATATCACCGTAACCTCGATTGTTAATTGTTCCGTAACTGTTTTATCGGCTGTAAAATGTATTAGGTTACATTTACAAATCTCTGACTATTTTATTAGGATATGGCTATGACTGTATTGAATTGGGACATGTTACATATTTTCCGAAAGCCTACGGAAAAGTACACCAAAACTGAATTTGCGTACCGTGTCCTCGCACACCTCTCCTGACGTCATTCATATGCCTGTTTCGAGGCACCCCAAAGTCACGTTGTGTGAATGATACAGAAGCGCTAACTCACCGCCTGTACCTTCGTATGGCTTTCACATGTGTATATATTCAGCGCCTCGTAGTATTTAGGTCACAAAAATCATACGTTTCTGTTGAGCTCCCAACCCGCCTCTTGTGCGTCCTGCTCAAACTTGACTATTTTGAAACCATTGAACACTACGTACTGTACCAAATATGAAATTGAAAGACGTTAAGCGGTTTCTCGTTTAGGCGCCGTGATGTAACCAGCTTCGCTGGTTGTTATTACATCTGAAGGATCATGTATGGAGTAATATGTTCCAGATGGGAATGTTTCTTGTCAAATTGGGGTTATGGGCATTTGGATATGTTATTTACAACGCTGGTGTATGTCCTTGAGACAAGGAATTGGGTCCCACCCATTGCTTAGCGTTCCAGTCTGTTTGACTTATGTGCGCGCGTCTCGTTTATTTAGTTCAAACAAATGCGTGTGGATATTTATATCCATACTAGCAGTCGAAGGACTGGTTATCATTATATGATATTTTTTAAAAGTAAATAGACCTTTGAATTGTTGAAATCAATTATCAGAGTATTTAAACATTATTATACCAAGGTGCCGTCCGTCCGTCCGTCCGTCCGTCCGAAAACTTTGTCCGCCCGATTTCTCTTAAACTATTCAGTGGATTCTTCTCAAACTTGTTTTTATTAATTTTCCATTTTTTTATGAATTTTTCAAACCCTAACCCATCCATTATTTAATTTGAAACTACTGGCACACTAGGCGGGTCGGGGGTATTAGTGAGCCAGTCACCAGAGCCACCCTCACTTTTGCCCTTGTTTGAAAGTAGCCATGCGTTCACGTCAGTCACATGGACCACGGACTTGTAATATAGGTCCGTGCATGGACGAAGCCTCCATTGCGAAATGGAGATTTTTGTTCGTTGGATGATGAAATATATGGTAATGAGAGAAGTACTTCAAGTTACATAAGCGGGACGAAATATGGTTGACCTAATTTTGTAAATATCCAGTATTAAGAATTTTCATGTTGAATACACGCAGCCAGATGGAATTGTTGTCATTGAACACGTGTAGCTGACAAACGGACAATCGATCGTTACATTCAAACAATTCTTCCTGGCTATATGAAAGCGCAGCCTGTGTTAATGCACGGGCGACACGTGGTAGGCGAGGGAAGAGAGTTCGATACAATCAATGCATTGAAGCATCCGGTACGCCCTCGCAAAACCTGAGCTATTACGAAAGGGAAACAACTCTTGTCTAGTTTTACTTCGTCAGTAACAGCTCAATAATCATACAAAAGAGGGAAAATGCTTACTCGGTGTCCATTCGAAGGAAAGGTTTAGACGTGGCGTACGAAACTGAGACCTAGTCTCTGTTATAAGATTACGTACGTCACTGCTTTTTTAAATTTGAAAAACTTGCTATAATTGCTGATTGACTGGGGCCTAAAACATTACGATCGCGAGACAAACCAGTGTTTGATATCATGAGTAACGATTCACGCCTTTAGCGAATGGTGACACACTATACTATACATCCCCGTTCCTCATAATCAAGCCATGCACGGGGACAGCTCGTACCGTGATCTCAACCACCGCTCTGCATATTGACGTAACCATACACAAAACCATCCATTCGGGTCCACTCGGCTTATTCCGTAACATACACAATACATCGGTATCTCACGGAGAGAGTCCCTCCATCATACTTTTGTTCACTGCGTGACTTGGGTAACTGTAATATTTTACACCCACAGCCGGATTCTTTCCACATACCAAATTCATAGTGTTATAGAGGTACAAAAGCAGTCAGGCGTGATGATCCCCAAGGCGTCGTCTACTTTCGCCCACAGTGCATTTCTCCTCCATAAAACTTTATGCACCAGTGAGTTATGTTATTTCAAGATGGCCCCTCCAGATAGTTTTGTTTAGTGGATATTCACCAATAGTTGTGTCATATGTGAGATGCCCCCTCTCAATCCCATATTGCCTTACCAATTACCACTGACCACTGTCGGCCGAATCTGTACCTATATATTAAACAACAGGTGCTGGGCAAATAGGAAGATCCCAGTTCGACCCCAGGGGATTTTTTCTTCTTGTTTGGGGGCAGTGTGTGTGTGTGTGTGTGTGTGTGTGTGTGGATGTGCAACAGAGTTATCGTTAACTATTTGATTGGCATTCTAGAAGTTGGCAAATAAAAACCGTATAGCTATATGGATAACAACTTCTGGTTTATTGCATATAGCGACACCGTTATCAAGCTGGATAATAACGGTATAGGGCGGTCGGGTAGCCTAGTGGTTAAAGCGTTCGCTCGTCTCGCCGAAGTCCCGGGTTCGATTCCCGACATTGGTACAACGTGTGAAGCCCATTTCTGGTGTCCCCCGCCGTGATATTGCTGGAAGATTGCTTAAAGCGGCGTAAAATCAAACTCACCCACTCACTCACACTCCTTGTTAATGGTGTGAGAATCTACAGAGAATCGTCGCTATATGCAATAAACCAGTTGTTATCCCAAAACTTGTACGTTTTCCTAAGAGCTATTGTTATATTTCATAATAGTAAACTGTACAGCAAAATGCATATATTTGTCATACATATTTATGACTAGATCTTGCGCATCATGTTTATAAAAAAAAACATGTCTAGCATATATCTGAAAACATTTCACTATGCATTTCAAAATCAACATATATTTTAAGGTTCAAGTAAATACCAATCTCATTAAAATCATATCTTATGTATCTCTATCGCAAAACAAAGATCGGAGGACATCCCAATAAGGGTCACGTCAGGACGACCTTTCATCCAACCAATCAGAGCGTCGCTTACCAGATCATGGAACAGACTGTCGGAATGTGTTTTCTACTTTTCTGGGTATGTTAGATTTAAATCACTTTCTCCCCGGAAAAAATACAAGCTCAGAAACGAAGGGCCCCGTTCCAGCTTGTGTTACAATTTCACGTTACTGTATTCACGTTCTATTTTTTTAATAAATTCTGTATCAAGAACATAAACTTCTATTGAACGGTATGATATGTCAAATTATTTGTGACTGTAGCTTAGTTGAAATATTAAGCGCGGGTCTCTAATTTCCTGCCTGGTTTGGAAGCTTGTTAAAAAAATAAGCGTTAGGGCGCTTATTAAAGGAAAAATGGTAACTACTTATTGTTCCCCTGATAAAAAACAAGGGGCGGTGGGGTAGCGCAGTGGTGAAATCATTCGCTTTCCGGGTTCGATGGGTACAATGTGTGAAGCCCATTTCTGGTGTAACCTGCCTCGATATTGTTGTAATGTTACTGTAAGTGGCCAATAATCCCACTCATTAATTCACTCCCAGACACGAAACAAAGATATGTATTTGTACCACAAAGACCTAATTCTTGTAGCTTGTAACATAACGATAGTCATAACCATTGTATCAAAGATGTTTGCGTTGTATAAGAGTGAGTGAACGAGTTGGGTTTAACGCCGCTTTTAACAGTATTCCAGTTATATCGCGGCGTGTCAGCTTAATGTGGGAGGAAAGCCCGGAGTGATGCAGGTGTCAGACGTTTTCCACTTCGGTGAAACCCACGAGCACGGGTATGGTGCTGACAAACCTAGAAACATAATCGGGGCGAACCGGGATTCGAACCCAGAATCATAGGTTTCTGGCGTGCCCAAGGGACGCAACTCTGCACAGCGAATCGCGGCGCCTCAGACGACTGGGCCACCCGTGCCCCCGCGTTGTATAAGAAATGATTTAAAGCAGCATAGACTGTGAATCCTTTTGCATGTATACTGAATATACTTTCTATCAATAAATACTGATATGATAGCCCCGTGCCCTTTCCTACATACACATATAATAGTTACCTAGGTGAAGTAACCCGTGAAGACCCGGGGTAGAATAGGTCTTCAGCAACCCATGCTTACCGATAAAAGGCGACCATCCTTTAGTAAGAGGCGACTAACGGGATCGGGTGGTCAGGCTCGCTGACTTGGTTGATGCATGTCATCGTATCCCAATTGCGCAGATCGATGCTCATGATGTCAATCACTGAACTGTCTGGTCCAGACTCGATTATTTACAGACCGTCGTCATATAGGTGCATTATTGTTGAGTGTGGCGTTAACCAACAAACAAACAAACAAATCCTAGGTGAAGTCGAAAATTCATTTATACTAGAAACACGTGATTGTATGAAGACATGAAGAGCAAACATCGTAGCTCCACGAGAGATTGGAAACATTGCATAGGAGTGTTGTGTAATTGTTAATGTGTTGCTTACAAGAAATTGTGTAAGTATGAAGTAAGATATAATGTTATTGAGTCAAACGTATTCAATCAACCGTTCTCTTTGACAATATTAAACATATAAACAGGGTTATGTTAATAGAAGACTTACGTGCAAATGAGAATCTTGGACTTGGGAGGGCTTTTAATGATTGAGTGACAAGTAGCCCTGTATAATAAGACGAACTGAGTTTAACGCTGCTTTATATTTTAAGGAGTACCAGTAAGCCTTCAAAGTGAATACAAAAAGAAGATATGTTACTCTTCAACAAAGGAGTCAAAAGGCTTGGTTTCCCACCTTTGTTTACCTGGGACATCAGAAAGGTAATACAAGGTTAAGGTACAGCGAGTAAAAACACAATCTCATTAAAATCAGATCTTAGTTCTCGCCACCGCTAAACAAAGATCTGAGGACCTCCCATTACGGGTCACGTCAGAACGACCTTTCGCGAATTTTGACCGACCAATGAAACTGGCGATTACGCTTCGAAACATATTTTGACGTATTCTCGATTTAAAAAATTAAAACTGATAAGAACACTCTGGAATGGCTTATAGATGGCCTAGATAGTATCGATATAATCATAAAACCCGTCACTGTCGTTCGGGATACCCCATGTTAAATATTTCGTGGTTGTATACTCGGACCCCATGGTACCGCGGCATTCATCGTATCGCGGCATTTGTGATTTCCGATAGTTCACGCGGGACACGCCTCTTAGCGGCTGTCTATTAATGCAAATCAGTAACCAGGAAGTGCTCACTTCGTAAACAATTTCAATTTCCTCGGAATGTTCCGTCTGCTGTAAGTAAAGAGTTATTAATCCGTTGATACATATTTCTGGCATCTGTTGTAATATTGCCTTACCCCCATCTATCAATGGCCAACGATATAACCCGCAGTTCCCCAAGTAAACTTTCTCTATCGACCTGAATTAGATCATCTGCATATTCATGGCGACTAATGAGGTAACGGAAGTTACGTAGTCCGCACATTTTTTCCCGCTCTGTGCCCAGAATCTATTTGGAGATCATAAGGGCCATAATGCCAAACTGAGAAATACGTTCTTCACTAGTAACCAAAAGAAAAATACATACTTTGGGCATACTAGGAGTGCTTTTCATATATTTATTGTTGACTTTTAACATTTTTCCATTTTGTGACAAATTATTGTCATCCAATTTTTTTTAAACAATCTTAAAATATCATTTCTGATATTTTGATGTTGACTTATAAAAATATTTTTCTCTTACTTTTCGGTAAATATGCATTGAATACCTATTGCTGATAACACATTTAGAATTTTACTTGTGCTGTCTTTGCACTTGTCTGGACAAATCACTGATGTCTGGCATGATCATACCAAGTGGTTGGTAGAATTATGTCCTCTTTTTGTCCAATTCGGACCTACATACACAACTTTTTTCTGTACCGCGATACGATGGAGTTCTCTCACTTGTCAAACAGAGCGCGAGGCCCGGCTTTTACTCGGAGCTACTAATGTAAATAATGAACTTTTATCAGTAAAATATGCATTGTTTGATAACATGAATGATATCTGATACAGAGAACACGAATAAACATAAAGGTTAGTGAGTGCATTTTGTTCCGTTTAGCGTACATGACAAGTACCGCGATACCCCGAGGTTGCAGGCTATAATAAGAAAAAAAAATTCCGACTGTCACTTTCATGATCTGGTAAGCGACGCTCTGATTGGTCGGATGAAAGATCGTTCTGACGTGACCCCTAATGGGATCGATCTTTGTTTAGCGGTAGCGAGTACAAAGATCTTATTTTAATGAGATTGATAAAAGCAACAACAGACATCCTCAAAGTTCGTAGTTTCTGAGAAGTCGAGAATGCAGTAATACTAGAAAAACGGTGTTGAGTGAAGGCCAAAGGTCGCAGATGGGTTAAACATCAAAATACCATTTTTTTAAATTATTTTTTTTATTCCTAATACCTCTTGCATATCAAATTTCATAATAATGCGTGCAGAAATGGATGTGTAAATGCGCCAAAATTACATGGTCAGCTGCCGTGACATTGGATTGTAATTCTTGGAGCTATTCTTTAGAGGAACCATAGCATTTCTTCTTTCAACTTGGCCAAGACAACAGGGTGCAAGACGGTGCACGGATCGCCTCTGGTCTAGGGGAGACAACTCTACATAACATTAAAGCCACCGCTAGGAGGTGTTTTCCCGCACCTGTCGCAACGCGAATGAACCCAATCCAACAGACACATTGATAATCACTGGCTGTTATATTGAAAGCGTCGGTGTCAACAGATTATTCAAAATGGCTGACGTAGAACCTGAAACGAAAGCTCTCAATGAGATGGACGAAGAAATATCGATGTCTCGTGGCATGAGAGCCGAAGTAAAAGTCAATTTTGACAAATGTCGAGATATGTTTGTCTATGATCAGATGGGAAACAAAATCCGCTTTGGGGATGTATACAAGAAACAAAAAACAATTGTTGTGTTTACAAGAGTAAGTAGCACACGCACATGGCAATATTTATGTTTGATGACGCGTTGCTATAGAGACGCTTCGAGTCAAATTTTCTTTTACATTGTATATACGTCTGTCTGTTTCTTAAGAAATATATAGAATCTAGTTAATACCAGAGTTACTGTTTAGATGCTATCGGAATGCAGAGTTGAAAATACTAGGGGGCGTATTTTTATGATCAGTTATTAAAATTAAGAAATATTTTCAGCTTGTAAAATGTCCCTTGATGTAACTGAAACATTGTAAATGAACTTTTTGATGAAGTGTAATACTATTTTGTACTTTTTAAATGTGAAATAACAAACAACACAACTCTAATAAAGAGAGAAATGTAAAACAAATCATTGTTATATATGTAAATGGGATGATTTTGTGGAATATAGATCTAATCAATACAGCCTCAAAATATATATGTATATATGTATTTTCTGTTTATTTTTCCAGCATCTCCTTGACTTTGTCTGCCAGGAGTATGCAGATGGTAGGTAGACCAATATGTCATCATCAATAAAATTAATACTATGTCTCTATTTAACCATCTGACTTCTTTCAAACATTTATAATGTAAAGTGTTTATTCTTTGATCACAGGAAAAGATGAAAATGAGCATATACAAATATCAAGGGTTTGTGAGTGTAAAATATGTCAAATGCCACTTCGGTACCTGAGTGTGGGAGATGTTTGTTCTGTTTATCAAATACATGCAAATGTCAAGTCATGAAAGGTATTCTGCGTACGACATGATTATTCAATTTTGATTGTTTTAATATATATATATTTATTCTATGGGGTTGCTTTTGCCACACTTTTGGGGCTGTTCTGACCATGTCATGAGACTAAAGTTTTGCTAATATTTCGGGTGAATGGGTCTCTATAAACACTTGGTTAAATGGTTAAAATTAAAACTTAAGTAAAGAACCACTGCTTTGGTGCCAATGTGGAAAAGTAATGGTGATAAAGTAACTGAAGAAATGATGGCAAACAATGGTTTACTGTTTAATGTAAGACATTGTGTTTTGAAACTGTCTTTCATTATTTTTTCCACAGATCTTGGGACTGTGCCCCTAGAATATTTACAGGTAAGTTTCATGATTGAGATGTCCATAAGGCCATGATATATTCATTGTTAGATTTTCTCTAAATACTAAACACCCAGTCTCACATTATTATATTGTCACCAGGTACAAGGGACAAGTATGTTTGATTCCTATCTCACGTTACTACAGTCAAACACATTTGTGTCCAATTTTCATGTGTGAAATTTTGGGTTGTTTCGAAGTTAAAACTTTGTCCCCGCATGTTCCTTCCTCATTCCTCATTTTCGGTTTTGTCGAACTGCGGATAACTCGAAGTATTTACGTATGTCCCTTCAACTTCGACACAGCGGTGTTTGACTGTATATATAAATACACCCACATATAGTCCAACAAAACAATCATTCTTCATGTGCATCACATTAATTTAGAGTAAATGTTAATGAACATTTTAAAAACAAAATAAAATTTAAAAAAAAGAAAGCCTCCTTTTTTAATAATCCTCTCTGAGATAGAGAATAGTCTACTTTTAGCTGGCAGTACTGGCATGTTGGATCATTTAACTGGGAATCGTGTATATATCATCATAATTACTATCATTACATTGCTAGAAAATCCATAAAACACTGGATGGCCCTTTGTATAATATCTCCATGATTGCATACTCATTGATCTTGAACGGTTTGTGCAGGAAGCTGGTGTTCGACTTGTCATCATCGCTCCATCACCTTATGTACTGATTAGGGTAAGTAGCCAGTGAAAGTGTACCGAAAAAGTGTAGTTACCATGGTTATTGGGGCCAGAACAATCAACAGAAGTCTTGTATGAATTGTAATGTATTACAACATTTTTTCACGATAAATACGTACATTGCCACAATATTTTGTATGTAATAAAATATAACCAAAGCAAATTTGTTCTTCAGAAAATCTTTTTGTGTCACCTTATGTTTTGATGGTCTTCATATAATACACTCATGTCAATGAGTTCCAGCAATCTGATGTGTGGGTAAATCAAACCTGAAACAGCACTTTTGTTTTAAAAAATGGTTTTCTGATTAGCTTAAAAGTACCCATTTGGCTGGACCCAAGGGAGTAAAATATACTGAATTTAAAAACAAAACCTGGTTTACTCTTTGGCTTAAAAGTACCCAATAGAATGGATCCAAGGGAGTAAAAATATACTGAATTTACAAAAAAAAACTGGTTTTCTGATTGGATTAAAAGTACCCAATAGAATGGATCCAAGAGAGTAAATATGTATTAAATGTTAAAAAAATATTTACTCATTGGTTCCAAAGTACCCATAAGGCTGAACCCAAGGGAGTAAAAATATACTGAATTAAACAAAAGAAGATTTTCTCAACGGCTTAAAAGTACCCAATAGACTGGACCATGAGTAGAAGAAATGAAAACTATGAATAACTAATGTGAATGATAGCATGTGAGTAAAAAATAATGGCTTTAAATGCATATCACTTTATGGTTTAATCATGAGATATTTATGTTTGTTTCCATGGTTTCAGGGGTTTAAGAAGGTGACCAGCTTCAATTACACAGTGTATTGTGACCCGGACTATGAGTTGTTCAAGGCAATGGGTTGTGTGGAGACTCTCGCGTTTGGCAAGATTGATGGTAATTCCTCTCCTCATTCTAATCTACAGACGGTGGCATGTTATTGATGATTGTGGGTAAATCAGAGATGCCCACTTTTACGATTTTGGTAGAACTATTACAATACTTTGCAACTAATTCAGCCAGTATGATAACACAGTTTGTGCCCAAGACTTTTGACAACTTGGCTTTTAGCATCATGTTTTGTACATTCTAGTGTAACCACATGGACTATTGTTAGCTGATCTAACTTGACCAAACAGAAATGTGCTAGACACAGGCTTTTGAGTAGTGGTTAAGGCCTCAGGCTGTAAAGTGCAAAACATATCAAACTTTTAGAAAAAAAATCAGCACCTGTAATTTTGACAACACCTTGTAGTTATTGATATTGTAAATATTATCAGTATCTATCGCAGAGTTTCCTCAATACATCTTTCTTGATCAAGTAGTTAATCATCGGTAGACTACATCTAGGGGTGAGGTGTAATCTTTTTATACACGAATAGTGATTTATATTTTCATTGTCTTCCTCTGCTCACGATTAAAGACAATAACATTGCATCTTGATTTTCACTTCTTCAGAGTGATGTCTTTGATACATGTATATAATGAACTCTCGTACTGAGAGCCCCGTGAGGATTCCAAGTAACAATTGGCCGCCATCTACCTGTATGCTTGCCTAACGAGCATGACTCATTGGCTCGGATGGCCAAATTCTGTGATAATGTCTGGTCGATTATTTACAGGCCACCATCATAGCTGGAATGTTGCCGACTTTGGCAGTTAACAACAAAAACAAAATATCATACTGTGACACCATGGCCTCAAGAACCAGTCTGTGCGGGGGGCGTGTCCAAAATAGGTCACATAGTCCTGCGGATGAGTCTCGAAAGACTATATTGGACCATCTTCCATGATACGGGGTATTATATCTCCATTTGTTATGATATATACCCTGGATCCATTCACCACCAAAGCTTTGTTCGACTCTGCTTTGAATGACAAGATGCTATAAATAGACATTTAATCAAAGCACACTGTTCTTTCATAATTGAAAAAAGCAATACTTTTCGTGTTATCTCAAATACCACTGGATCATTTTATAGCATAAAGACTTGTCTTAAAGCAGTACTCCAGCTATAATCTTCTTATTCAATTATTTACGAAGAACACTATTTAAAAGAATACCCAAATTTATACAGAAATAATATGTAAAGAAATGACGTTTTGGAATTCAATCTTCATAGTTAAGTCATTATCTGGTCCATGCCCTTGGGCATCGATTCAGGCGCGACTGGGTATCAAACGCCGGAAGGTGTCTCTTGGTATCCTTCGTCATTCTTCTTGTAAGGCCTGCCCAAGCTGTTGCAAATTCCAAAGGTTGTTAATCGGTGATGTGTTGGAAGATTTGGCTGGCTAGGGCAATACTGTGACAACTTGCTGCCTCAGACAGTCGACTGCAACATGGCCTCTGTGAGGAGGTGCATTGTCATCCTGAATCTAAAAGTTCTGACCTAGGCGCTGGGCAGATTGGATGATCATTGGAGATTGGACATATGGTCCACATTACGGTGACCGGTCATGTTTCCCTGCTTGATCATAAGATTCATTCTGTCGTCTGATTTGATGCCAGCCAAGACTATGATGCTGCCACCACCGTACCTAATACTACACAACTTGCTCTTTGACTGCTTACGGATAACACCTCTCTCCACGCCGTCTCTGACCACGTTGACTAAAATCTGTAAAGCATAAACAGAACCTTGATTCCTCACAAAACATGGTGTATCTCCAATACCGCTGTTGGCTTCTTCTTAGGGCTGTGCCCTGTCTGAAGGGCCTGTGTGCAGTTTCTAACCTGTTTTGAATCGTTAACATCGAAAGTCGGATTCCTACGGCAGCCCTGAAGTTGTCCCTCAGTTCTTGTGCAAAATATATATGTAGCTCAAGATATTGGTGCGTACCTATAGATCCTGCCTGGGAATTGTCTTTCTAGGTCTTCCTCTTCCCACCCTAATCTAAACCCAACCCGTTTTCCAATATCTTTCCATCAGTAGGGATATCCCCCTTTTGGATTTACCAAAGTGTCTGGCAACTGCATTCTGGGATTGGCCAGCTTCAATCATGCCTATTGCGCACAATGTTTCATTTTCTGTCATGTACACTTTTGGAGGCATTTTCCTTCTCTATACACGGTCAATAAACCATGTGGTTGTGACAGCTTATTGGCACGTGCCAGTTACCAGTGTGTCACTGTGGACAGCATGCTGTACATATGCAAAGTTTGAGTGAGATTGCTCTCTGCCTTCAGTAGCTGTATCTCATGCAACACACCTGGACATTTCGTTCTTACAGCTGAAAAGAGAGGGGTTCCCTTAAATATTGTTCCTAATACAGTAAACTACATGTATAACAAACACGCATATATCAAACTGGCGGATATAACAACTGGATTTTTGGTCCCAGGCATTTGCTGTATATATGCTGTATATTGTTTATAACAAACTACTGTTATAACGAACTAAAATAAGTGGTCCTATTGAGTATGTTATAACTGTAGTTTACTGTATACTCAAATGAGGCCGCGATTTTGATTAAAGATCTTTACCATTTTGATTGGTTGTTGGTTACAAGTTCGTGAGCAATAAAAGTCCTAAGCTAGGACCTAAGATATTAAGTGACATGGAGCTGGTAATATCACTACCGGAACAAAGCGATTGTGACAAATGAGTCTAGGTTACATATCATAATAGAATGGAAATATGATACATTGGATAATCAACACTGATTTCTGACTTCCTTCTTCTTTTTGCTCAGAGAGTAAGCACATAAAGTCAGGCATCATCATGGGCGTGCTGCGCAGCACGTGGAGGGCAATGCAGCAGGAATCACGGTTGAGGAATGGTGACGTCAAACAACAGGGGGCCTCATTCATTATGGGACCAGGTAAACATTTTGTGACCACTGACGTGTATTATTGTGTATCTCCATGTAGTCTATAGCAGGGCCTTGTGGGAATTTCAAGTTGCCATAAATCTGCAGCAACATATGCTTGTATCGTAAGAGAAGACTTTAAGGATAAGTGAGTTAAGTGGCATTATATTCCAATGAGAGGTTCTAATATCAATCAACAGCTGTTTGGTTCAGTCTCAATTATTTACATGATACATCTTTCTAAGGCAAGGGAGTTAACTGACTATAATAGACCAGTTCCTTTGGCTGGAATTATGGAGTTATGTTTCGGCTGGACTAACGAGTTTATGCATAGTGCAATCAAAATCATGTAACCAAATCGACATCCGGTTCAGAAGTTGCTGTGCCGATTTCGGTTAATTGCAGGATTTGCAAAGCATGTGTAACGTCAAGTTAGTGTCAACAGATATTTTCCAATCTTTTCATGTTTTTAATTAATGTGCTCACGTGATTTCATGCACTTAGCGAAATAAGACCTGTTTTATTACAATAAAGATCTTAATTATTGATCAGATCGTCATCACTGGGCCCCGCCATTTTGTTTGAAGCAAATGCAAGTGATAAGAGATGTGGAATCTGATTGGTCAATTGGAGAGACATAGAATTAAGGGACATAACTATGATCGAGCCCAGAAATTCCAGCCTAGTTCGGCTGGGATGGAAACTGGACTTTTATACTCAGTTAACTCCCTTGCCTTAGGAAGATGCAGTGATAAGACTGGAATAGCGCTGATTTGGCTTTAAACAACAAAGAAACAAATGTATGGACAAAGTCTCATTTAACATGGGCCCAGTTAAGGTGGATAGGAACATGTTATGAGAACTCTGGTATATTGGGTGTACATCACAGTCATCTAAGGGGCAACAACCATGCGCTTGTGGTGGTTCTCATTTAGGTGTAATCAAGCTTCCAATGTTGATTTTGTTCCTTGTTTGTGATCATTTGTCTGTTAGCACCCTACCCATGCTCATGTGGTTTTGTATTAATGTCTGGTTGCCTGGTTACAGGAGATGTGCTTCACCACGCCCATATTGATCAGAACGCCACAGATCATGCCAAAATCAATGACTTACTGACCATTGCTGGGGTGCAGAATGTCAGCTTCCCCAAAGACCCTCGTGTCCTTGACCTCTGACCACCCAGCAACAGAGCAGAGCTGATGCCGTCCAACATATTTATTCCAACGATAACTTGCTCAAGATTTCAAGGTCCCAACTGGATTCAACATCACTTGTTATGTAACTGGACTTGCCACTGGGCCTGAGTTTGTAAATTATTTTAGGCCTCTGTCATCATTTGTCTTATCATGACCACATACAGTAAACTAAGTTTATAACGAACACGCTTATAACGAACTGACCAATTTGTTGTATGTATGCTGTATGTATGCTTCTAACGAATTACGGTTATTACAAAGTAAAATAAGTGGTCCCTTTGAGTTCGTTGTAACCGTAGTGTTCTGTATAGCTATGTCTAATTTCTTTGTAATGAAAGATTTTCTTTTTTCTTTAAAAAGGCCCGACACAATCATCCACTGTAATATATCTCTTTTGTACTGTGATACATGTATTCCTATGGACCCATTCACCTCCACAGAAAAAGTTTCTTTTGGACAAGATTTCTTCATACGTCAACATTAATGATCACTGCCTCATGGGAGTGAGCCCTTGATGTATTTAATCAAATTAAGAGCCTGTTGTAACAGAATTTGTAGCTTGGTTACTGATATTGGGAGAGGAATACAACCACATTTGATTGGATTGGATGTCTATTTATAGCATTTTCTTATTCAAACTCAAAGTAAGGCTAAGATAGAAAATGGGTCCAGGGTGTTTGTTGTAATAGAATGGAGATAATATACCCTCGATAATTGAGGATGGTAATACATGTACTTCAGTGTGGTATAAGTTCTCCAACTTTACACTAATTTCAAAATTTCATGGAAGGCAGTGAAATAAGCATGAGGCTGAAATTGAAGGTTTCAGTAAACTGATTCAGATTCAGTTTGAATGTTTGTCCGCAAGAAAAATAAGAAGTTGATGATGAGGGAAGGGAAGCCATTGAGTGAGTCATCAGTTGGTGCATACTTGTACGTCCTCAACATGACATGGAACATGAATTGTGCATAATAGAAAACACTGTCATCCCCATATCGTCAGTGTTGACCGTGGTGTTTGTACATAGGTGTGTGAGCTATATTGATGTAAGTTCAGTCCCGAATAAACTTTTCTCCTTCTAATGATGCACAAGACAATAAGATCGGATAAATATTTGATCATGATAATGAGGCATTTTAGTTTTAATAAATTGGTTAACACAAACCTGATAATTAAGACAGAGAATAAAATTAAAATTTGGAGAACAGTTTGTGAGTTAATCCTGTTGATGAAAGAAATCGGGTAAGTGTATGAAAAAAAGATATAAAAAAACCCCCCAAAACAACATCTTCTTCTTCTTCAACATTTTTCTTTTTCGAACTTTACCAGACTTTTACCGGACTGACAATTCTTTCAGGAATCATTTTCAATTTCTTTATTGGAAATTAAATTCTAATTCTATTTAAATAACCAATGTTATGATTATGGAACAAAACTCTTAAAACAAACCAATATTAATCATAATTTATTGGTCACTATGCTGGAGCCAAATCAAAGGAATGGGTGAAAGATTTTGAATAAACATTAAAAGATATTAATTTCAAATTCTCTCTACAGTCCATTTATTACAATCGATCATTAAACAGTACAAGGATGCAAATCAAGCATGGATTATGATGATCATTTGAACAAAGCAATTTACAGGTAGTTAATCATTAAATATCATCTTAGCTATCTCAGATCTAGGTGCATGCTTTGAAAATGTCAATAATGTCTATGCAGGAAGTGGGTTAATTAGGTTTGAAAATAGCCCCAGCTTGAAAGTACTGATTAGCAGAAAAGCCTGTTTGTGAGTCCAAATTAGCCTGTCTCCCAGACACTAGAGATTATATTTATTAAGAAATGATCCTAGCTCAAGTCTAGAATATGGCAATAAAGCTATGTTCTGGGCCCCATTTGGATTTTATTTTGTTTTGTAGATATGTATTTATAAATAAGTAAATTTTATTTCTGGGACTAACTGAAGGTCTATCTGAGATCTAGGTGCATGCTTTGAAAATGTCAATAATATCTACGCAGGAAGTGGGTTAATTAGGTTTGAAAATAGCCCCAGCTTGAAAGTACTGATTAGCAGAAAAGCCTGTTTTTGAGTCCAAATTAGCCTGTCTCCCAGACCCTAGAGATTATATTTATTAAGAAATGATCCTAACTCAAGTCTCGAATATGGCAATAAAGCTATGTTCTGGGCCCCATATGGATTTTATTTTGTTTTGTAGATATCTATTTATAAATAAGAAAATTTTATTTCTGGGACTAACTGAAGGTCTTGGTCCATGTGTGAATAGGACTTGAACAGGGGACATAACTCCTGGAGCAGTAATGCACATCAAGCCATACAATTACTGATTTGAAATTATTGAGATTTTGTAATAAAATATATTTCAGTTATGGCTGTTTGTGTCCTGTTTGAAAAGAACTATATGTATGATGTATATATATTTCAGATACAACATCAATATTATGAATAAATTGCACAATCAGCAATACAGGTATTGTGGTTGAATGTGAAGATGTTTAAACAGTTTATCGGTGCAGAGTTGCGTCCCTTGGACCCAACATGACCCTATAATCGTGGGTTGGAATACCGGTTCGACCCGATTATATTTCTAGGTTTGTCAGCACCATGCCTCTGCTCTTGGGTTTCACTAAAAGGGTTACCATCTGAGACCTGCATCACTTCAGGCTTTCCTCCTACATCAAACTGACACGTGGTGATATAACTGGAATACTGTTATGAGCTCAACTCATTCACTCACAGCTTTAAAGAGCTGTACACAGAAGGGGGGTAAAGCATTAAGTGTGCTCTGAGAGTGCGCAGTTTATGCCTGTTTTACAGGTTTGACGGTGAGGGTGACGTGACGATTTCAAAAACAACATGAAAAAGTTCTAATATGTTGGAAGACCGCCTCCGTGGTCTAGTGGTAGAGCATCTACCAGAACAGGTGAATGTCGGTGGCTCGATCCCCGGCCACGTCATACAAAAAGATGTTACCCACCTGGCATAAGGGGTAGACTAACATTTAGTCTATGAAATCTTATATTACACAATATCCTTCTTGACTCTTAATTTATTTATTTTTAAATCCCTATGCTGATTCCTTATCTGTGTAATAGAGCTGGCTAGATTTTCTTTTGTATATTTTTCTAGATTGTGTTTTTTTTCCATAAAATAAATATATTCCAAAGTCATGGGGCAGAACTACATAAGGGGCTAAAAACAAGGACTGGTCAACTCAGAGTCAGCATAATGCGTCTGAGTGGGGTATCCATGTTAAGCTGCAGCATGGTGTCTCAGTTGGCTGACACTCCGTACTATCAAACCGACTTAACAGCTAAAATGGATAGAATTATCATTAAACCGCCCACATGTTATCAGAAATGAGCGGGCCACTGTAACTTGATAATACCCTCATATTGCTTGACGCCGGGCCATTATCACGCCCATTGTTAGGTGAGATCATAGGATAGGGATAGGTGACGTCACGTTCAATAGTGACGTCATCTGGTTTGTTCTATGACGTTTCCATATTTTTAAAAGTGGGTCACTGACATTCGTGTTGACTGCTGTAAATGTTTCCAAACCGATACTGTTGTTTCTTTTTATCTCAGTCTTTTCAACCGCCCTTCTTCGTCGGGCAGTTAATGGAAGACCTCGGGCTTCTTCAAATGATAATGCCCTGAAAAATAGCGTTACCCTTATATTAGTCTGGGTCCCGTTCTACAAAGTGGACGATCTCAGCGCTTAAGTCGATCGTAACTCCCATTCAGAATGATTCTTTAACACTGACTTCCACTGACAACCGTAGCGCTATGATCGCTTTGTGGAACGGGGCCCTGGCCCACAGGGAATGTAACGCAAAAAATAGCAGCTACAAATGGTCGCATCCAGTGTCAGTATACTATATTAAAGTCTGACACTGGGCGTGACCATATATCTTGTAGATGCTATTTTTGCGTGACAAGCCCCTGTGGTCTGGACTAGTACAAGAAACTACACACGAACAGTCGCGCACACGCACACGCACACACACACACACACACACACACACGTATGCATGCACGTCACTACAAATGGAAGGCGACCTTCACACACTGGTTCCACCTAACCCCCCTTTTAGTCATCTCATGAAGATCCGTGAAGATCCTGGGTAGAATAGGTCTTCAGCAACCCATGCTTGCCGTAAAAGGCGACTATGCTTGTCGTAAAAGGCGACTAACGGGATCGGGTGGACAGGCTCGCTGACTTGATTGATGCATGTAATCCTATCCCAATTGCGTAGATCGATGCTCATGATGTCAATCACTGGATTATCTGGTCCAGACTCGATTATTTACAGATCGCCGTCATGTAGCTGGAATATTGCTGCGTGCGGCGTTAAACAACAAACAAACAAAACTCTTGAGCTATATCAGTGTACACAGCTGATACAAGGGACTTTCACATAGAATGTATAACCATACGTGCTGATAAGGAGAAGCTCTGTAAGCCTATACTCATCCCCTTCTCAGCTCCAGCAGCCTACACCCACTCTCAGCTCACTGAAATGTAGAGACTTGAGGGTTCCTTAATGCTCGTGGCCTCCTTTAATGACATTTCTTTTTCAGTTAATACTTTATTTCAGGGACGACATACTATGGTCTAGACCTTGGGCTTCATCCCACATCATATAACTGAAATGGTGTTCAAAGCGGCGTTAAACACAATTCATTCAGTATAACACTTTGATGCGCTTCTAAAATCGTAATATTTTCATCTTCGAATTGGTTGATAACTACAAATATACTGAGTCAAATTAAAAACTTCACATTTTAAAAAGTAATCCCATATATGATATACAACGGACAAATGTATCAGGGAAGGTAATTTTTAATCATTTATGTCCAAAGAAGGATTTTAATTAACGGTGGTAACCATAATTTGTTCCACGCACCTACGGTATTCGGTAATAACATCAACAGTTTAAATCATAATTCCCAAGCACGAGAATCTGATGCCACACAAGTTCAGTAGCGTGTATGGCCACCATGTGCGTTGACAACTGCCACACAACGCCTCCGCATTGACCTTGTGATGCTTGTGAACACATGACTGGGAAGACGACACCATTGTTGCTGCAAAATGGTGCCAAGATCTTGCAAATTCTATGGTTGGTTCTGGAGAGTGCGCAGACTTCTGCCAAGAGCAACCCAGACGTGTTCGATGGGATTGAGGTCGGGAGACCTTGACGGCCAGTCCATGACGTTGACTCCCGCATTCTGAAGGAAATTCCTTGTCAAAATTGCTGTGTGGGGTCTGGCATTGTCGTGTGGGAAGATCAAACCGGGTCCATGTCCTGCCACAAAAGGCAGAAGTTCTGGTGCAAGTACCTGGTCGCGGTAAGCAGCAGCGTTGAGGTTGCCACGGATGACAAGAAGCCTGGAACGTGCATTGTCACAGAAAGCACCCCACACCATGACACTTAAGCCTCGAAATCTGTCAACTTCCTGTACACAACACTGGGCGTAACGTTCATGACGGCACCTCCACACCCTCGCCCTACCATCAGCAAATCGAAGATTAAATCGGGATTCATCACTGAAGACGACTTGATCCCAATTCCTCTGAGTCCATCGTAAGTGTCGCTGTGCCCACAATTGAAGTTGACGTCTGTGTAATTGAGTCAGAATAGGCCCGCAATATGGCCGTCGTGCTTGAAGGTGAGCAGTTCTCAGACGGTTTCGAACAGTTTGCGCACTCAGTCTACCCCTAAAGAGTTCATTTCTGGTTGATCAGCGGTGGTACCCGTTTGCTGTAGACCTGTCTGTAAATCATAAACAGTCCGTCGACTACAACCCATCGTCCTTGCGACTTCAGCTACGGACGTTCCCGTCTGCAACATGCCAATGGCACATTTGAAAGGCGTGGCATGACCAATGGCCGTAAAGACCTTTGTTTTCTTGTGTTTTTTTGTTAATGACTGCTAACAAGTGTGGCTGAAAACACGTGCGGTATTATGGCCACGTGACCAGTTGCACGTGAAAAACCACTTTTGCCACTATAGTGCTGTGCACATGATTTTGATCGATTCACCTGCACAAAAACGGGTGTTATCAGAAGACAATACGTGGCCATTACTGTTTAAATACACAATAAGGGCCCACAATGATAACTGGTCAAAATGTTAAAATTTTAGGATTGTGAAGCTTTTAATTTGGTTCAGTATACATAGGTTGCTTGAGGTGTGGAGTGGATGTGGGTGTGGAGGAGTTAAGTTTAAACAGTTTGTTTGGTGTCTGGTTAAAAAAGGAACTCTCCTTTCAAACATTAAAAAGGCATACTAAAATAAATATATATAATAAACACTGTGTTTTCAATGCAGATGTTGCTCATAGATTTGACGGATTGTATCTGTAACCGCACTCGCGGCAAATTGACTAAATACAATCAAACTAAATGTAAAAGTAGACACAATTTATGGATAACAACTTCTTTAAAAACTGTGAAGGCGACGTTTCGGTATAGATCCTTATACCGTTGTCAAGCAAGACTGAAGGATGATGTTGTTGTTGTTGCATTAAGTGTTTAAGAGGTCGCCTTCTGCCTAGGCAATTTCGGCTGACCTGTCCCTCTTTGGGACTCCTGTGTGTGAGAAGGGAACACATATCTATTGTGAGTTCGGTGTTCACATAATTTCTGTTTTTGTATTGATATGATTTCTATTTTCTTATATTGATATGATTTCATTTTTATCCTTTGCTGCTCTGTTAATATACGTTCGAGTAGCTGTCCATCTCTCAGAAATAGAGTTAGTTTGGCCTTCGCTATTGCATCTCTTGGCTTTAGGAGATCTATGACAGATAGCGGATCTAACTGCAATTCTTGTTTTAACATAGCCCGGGCTGGGGCATGGTCTTGACATTCTAGTAACATGAAGGATGAACAAGGTACAGAGTATATATAGTAGATGGAGGATGAACAGTAGAGGATTAACAGTAACAACAATTGCATACATGGGTGGGATAACATGAGTAGGTAAAGTAATGACAACAGAAGGATAATACTGTATAACAACATGATGGACATAGAACACATGAGGTGGAAGTCAATGAGACATGAATTTCAGCCAATTAAACAGGATAAGTTCACATAGGTGGGGTGAATATTGCCCAATGAGTTCATGCTTGGCTGATGGGGTGGAATAGCCTTGATCTCTGTTGATTGATGCATGGCTTGACGGGCGAATGTGGACTGCTGTTAGTTTTCTTTTAGTGAAGTCATGGAGGTTGTTGGAAAGGATTGGGACTTTTTTTACCATTTGATGTTGTGATTGGGGCAGTCGCTGATATAGTCCGAGATGGCCGATTTACTGTCTGATTTGATGGTTGAAGTGTTGTGCTCTTTGATTCTG